CAGCAAAAAAAAAAAAAGTGTGTGCATGTATGTATGTCTGTATGTGTCTGTGCAGCTCCCTCTAGGTGGTAGGGCCCTTGTGCATGTGTTATTCCTATTTGTAAAATATTTGCTTGTTAGATCCTTGAATAACCAGTTGACTGTCCTGAGTACACATCGCCTTTGGCATTTTCTCTTGACAGTCTCATTCACACTCACAGTTCAAGTTGTTCTGTCTCCTGGGACATCTTGTGTGGTCTGTTCTGACTTCTCTGCTAGTGTCATTACCACATCGGCATCTGATTCCAACACATACTCTCTGGGCTTTATATTCCCTTTCCTGCAGAATGAAGACAGATTAGACATGGGCTTCTCCCAGTGGACCAGAAATACCCACCAAAAAGGCCTGTGCGGGCCTCAGACCCTACCCTACTCTTGCTGGTTGATGCTCCCCACACCGAAGCCATGTAGCCTCTGACAGCCTCACTGGCCAGCACCATATTCTGATACCTTTGGGGCTATTTTTTGTTTTTCTTTCTTTCTTTCTTTTTTTCTTTGAGACAGAGTCTCGCTCTGTCGCCCAGGCTCGGGTGCAGTGGCATGATCATAGCTCACTGCAGCCTTCAACTCCTGGGCTCAAGCAAATCACCCACCTCAGCCTCCTGAGTAGTTGGGACCAAGGTGTGCACCCCCACACCCAGCTTGGAGCTTTGTTTCAGCCCATTTTCTCCTTCCCTCGACTATCATCGTCCTTCATGCCTGCATGCCTCAGTTAGGGGTGTGTTCTCAGCATTTGTCCTCATCTCTACCTCCTCATCTGAAATCCAGTGTTTTGCGGGGTAAGGTTTTATTTAGGTGTAATTTATATACAGCACAACTGTGCAATTTTAAGTATACAATTTGATGAGGTTGAGCAAACATATACATTTGTGTAACCAGCACCACAATCATGATATGGGACATTTCCATGACCCAAAAATGTCCTCATGCCCCTGTGCATTCAGTCCTCTCCCCTCTCCCCTTGGTAACCACTATAGTTTTGCTATAGATTTTCCTCTTTAAGGATTTCATATGGAATTTATACTATGTGGTCTTTTGTCTCTGCTTTACTTCGCTTAGCATATGCTTTTGAGTTTATCCATGTTGTTGTGTGAATCGGTAGTTTGTTCCTTTTCATTGGTGAGTAATATTCCATTTGTATTAGTCTGCTAGGGCTGCCATACAAAGTATGGCAGGAGGGCTTAAACAACAGAAATTAATTTTATTACAATTCAGGAGGCAAGAAGTCTGAGATCAAGGACAGGCATGATGGCTCACGCCCGTAATCCCAGCACTTTGGGAGGCTGAGGCGGGCAGACTACGAGGTCCGGAGATCAAGACCATCCTACCTAACATGGTGAAACCCCATCTCTACTAAAAATACAAAAAAATTAGCCGGGCATGGTGGCGGGCGCGTGTAGTTCCAGCTACATGGGCTGCTGAGGCAGGAGAATGGCATGAACCCAGGAGGTAGAACTTGCAGTGAGCCTAGATCGCGCCACTGCACTCCAGCCTGGGTGATAGAGTGAGACTCTGTCTCAAAGAAGAAAAAAAAAAGAAGTCTGAGATCAAGGTGTCAGCAGGGTTGGTTTCTTCTGAGGCCTCTTTTCTTGGCTTGTAGACGGCCACCTTTTCCCTACATCTTCACATGGGCTTACCTCCTCTATGTCTGTGTCCAAATTTCCTCTTCTTATGAGGACACCAGTTATATTGGATTAGGGCCCACTGTATTGAATTCATTTCAACTTAATTACTTCTTCAAAGAACCTCTCTCCAGGCCAGATGCAGTGGCTCATGACTGTAATCCCAGCATTTTGGGAGGCTAAGTTGGGTGGATCACTTGAGGTCAGGAATTCAAGACCAGCCTGGTCAACATGGTGAAACCCTGTCTCTACTAGAAATACAAAAATTTAGCTGGGTGTAGTGGTGTGTGCCTATAGTCCTAGCTACTCAGGAGGCTGAGGCAGGAGAATCTCTTGAACCCAGGAGGCAGAGGTTGCAGTGAGCTGATACTGCACCACTGCACTCCAGCCTGGGTGACAGAGTGAGACTATGTCTCAAAAAAAAAAAAAACCTCTGTCGGAGTTACTGAGGGTTGAGACATAGGAATTTGAGGTGAAGGATATACAATTCAGCCCATTACTCCATTGGATGGATATTCCATAGTCTGCTTATCCATTCACCAGCTGATGGATATTTAGTCGCTCATAGGCTTTTGCTATTACAAATAAACCCGCTATAAATATTTGAGTACATGTATGGCTGTGCATTTTAATTTCTCTTGCATAAATACCTAGGTGTGAAATTGCTGAGCCATGTAGTTTATCAATTTTATTGATCTTTTCAAAAACCCATTTTTTTGTTTTATTGATTTTCTCTATTTTCTGTTTTCCATTTCATAGATTTCTGATCCTTATTATCTCCTTGGTGTCTTAAGATTGAAACTTATTTTACTTACTTTAGTGTCTTAAGATTGAAACATAGATATTGATTTGACACTTTTTTTTCCTTGTATAGCATTCAGCACTGTAAATTTCTAAGCACTGCCTCATCTATATCCTACAACTTTTGTTATGTTACATTTTTATTCAGCTGAAAATAGTTTCTAATTTCCCTAGTGATTTCTTCTTCAACCGTATGTTATTTCAGAATGTGTTGTTTCATTTCCTAATATTTAGGGCATTTTCCAGATAACTTTCTATTATGGATTTCTGATTTAATTCTATTGTCGTCAGAGAATGAACTTTGTATGATTTAAAGCCTTTCAAATCTGCCAAGATTTATTTTATTTCCCAGAGTGTGGTTTATCTTGGTAAATGTTCCACATGCCCTTGAAAAATATGTATTCTGCCTTTGTTGGCTAGAGTGTTATGTAAATATCTGTTAAGTCAAGTTGAATGATGGTGTTTTCAATTGTTCTGTCAGTTTTTGCATTATGTATTTTGAAGCTCTTTTAGTAGATACATTTATATTTAGGATTGCCATGAGTTCTTAACGAATTAAGCCTTTTATCATTATGTAATATTCTCTTTATCTCTGATAGTCATCTCTCTGAAATCTACTTTGCTATTACTATAGGCAGTTCAGCTTTTTTTTTTTTAATTAGTATTTGCAGGGTTTATCTTTTTCTATCCTTTCAGTTTTAACCTATCTTTGTATGTAAAGTAGGTTTCTGTAGCTTGCTTTTTTAATTCAGTTTGACAATCTCCACCTTTTAATTGGAGTGTTTAAACTATTCGCATTTAGTGTAATTATTAATATAGTTGGATTTACATGTCTCTTTTTTCCCCCTTTTTTTTTTTTTTTTTTTGACAGAGTTTCGCTCTTGTCACCCAGGCTGGAGTGCAGTGGCGCAATCTTGGCTCACTGCAACCTCCACCTCCTGGGTTCAAGAAATTCTCCTGACCTCAGGTGATCTGCCACCTTGGCCTCCCAACGTGCTGGGATTACACGCATAAGCCACCCCACCCAGCCTTGCTATTAGTTTTCTATGTCTTATGTCTTTTTTGTTTCTCTTTTCCTCCCTTAATGACTTCTTTTGAGGTAAACACATACTGTTCTAATGTACTCTTAATTCCTCTGATTGCGTTAATGTTTTTCACCTTTTAGTTATTTGATTGGATGCTGGACATTGTGAATTTTACTTTGTTGAGTAGGTTTTTGGAATTTCTTAAGTGTTTCTGGGATTTGTTCTGGGATGCAGTGAAATTCCTTGGCATCTATTTGATCCTTTCAAGCATCAAAGCAAGTCTGGAGTTGGGTGGTGGCCAGGATGCCCAGGCCAGGGGGAGCAGGTGGGAAGGATTGGAAGGCAGTCAGGTGAGGACTGCAGGTAGCCTCTCTTGATCCCTTGGGGCACAGAACTTGCTAATATATATACAAGGTTTCCTTCTTTAGAGTGTAATAACGGTATCTAGTCTGGGTTCGGATCCTTTTGCATTAGTGAGCTTTGAATAGAGTTGCTGGGGTTTTTGTACTATTAATATTCTCTCAAATTTTTAAGTTTGAAATTCTTGACCCCATGAAGCATAGCATCTCACCCAGGACTTAGAGCGTGATACAACAGCCATGTGGGTCCCACCTCAAGTTGCCAAGACCCCGCAGTGTCTATTCAGACCTGCTTTCCCAGTCTAGAAGGTGGTGTGGGAATGCATGCCAATTCCCAGCCCCTCTCCCTGCCCCTGGTCCCCAAATTCAGTCATGGTCAGTGTCTACAGCACAACCTTCTGTGCATGGGAGAAGGTCACCTGAGGTTAACCCTTTACTTGTAGGGTCGTTAATCAATCTCTGGCTCCTTTGGAACCATGGACACAGTATCAGTCCTGGGTGAGTGAGAACCTATATGTCATTTCAGGAATCGGTGAGTTTCAAGGATGTGGCTGTGGACTTCACCCAGGAGGAGTGGGGTCAGCTAGACTCCCCTCAGAGGGCCTTGTACCGGGATGTGATGTTGGAGAACTACCAGAACCTTCTTGCCCTAGGTAAGATCCCCCCAGCCCCAGGCTGGGCGTCTGCTGTCAGCCTTCTTCTGCATGGTAGATATTAAGGAGGATCCCTTCAGTGCCAGCCCTGGTGCCAGATATGTCATGGGGTGGGAAGCAAGACCTGTGCCTTGGGGGACTCATGGCCAGGGGCCTTGGCCACGCCAGAAGTCCCCAGGGGACAGCGTAGGAGCTGGTAGCATCCTTGCTTGGCATTTCCCCTGGTCCTGGGGTGGGGGCAGGGAGAGAAGAGAGGAAGGTGGGACCCTGGAGCCCAGCTGGCTCTGGAACGGTCCTCGAGCAATAAAGTAAGGACGTCAGCACACGTGGGGTCTTCAGAGTGTGCACTGGTATTTGGGTTCCAGTCTGACACCCTCACTGCTTTTGGCCCAGAGGACCTTCTGTTCCCAGAGAGAGTGTCCACTTCACAGGCACTGTCCTTGTTAGGGGCGGCCCCTGAGGTCAGCTGGGCCTGGAGAGCCGCAGCATGCCCAGCCCCACTTTCTCCCCACAAGCAGGACCTCCACTGCACAAGCCAGACGTGATCTCCCATCTGGAACGAGGCGAGGAGCCATGGAGCATGCAGAGGGAAGTCCCTGGAGGGCCCCGTCCAGGTGAGCAGAGGCACAGGTGGAAGGGTGCCGGCCCCACCACCTCTGGCGGCACCTCCTCCTATGGCCCCTATTTTCCTCCCTCCATTTGCTCTGGTTCCATGTCACCTTCTCAGGTCCTCCACCAGACCCTCCCGCCTGTCTCCCTTCAGCACATATTGAGCACTGCCTGTGTGCTGAAACCTGTTCTGGGATACAACACGGAGCAAACCGGGCCATTGGGACCAAATGGCCACCTGCTGATGGGGGTGGGGACACAGGAATAGAAATATTGAGCCAGTGGTGTTGGCTGGGCAGCCGGGGGTGTGGGATTGGGGTCAGGGGGCCACCAGGGGAGGGGCAACTGGCATTGGTCAGTGTCAGCGTCAGGGTCAGCATCAGCATCAGCATCAGAGCCAGCATCAGCGTCAGGTTCAGGGCCAGTGTCAGGGCCAGGGCCAGCATCAGTGTCAGAGCCAGCATGAGCATCAGCATCAGGGTCAGGGCCAGCATCAGTGTCAGAGTCAGCATCAGCATCAGGGCCAGCATCAGTGTCAGGTCAGGGCCAGCATCAGCGTCAGAGTCAGCATCAGCATCAGGGTCAGCATCAGC